AGTTAAAGAAAAGTGATTTTTTTTCCATTACAAAATTTATTATTCACGTAGAGTTTTTTTTATTTTCAAGATATATAATTAATCATAAAATAATTTCAAAGTAGTTCGGTTGCACTTACGAAGGAATCTCTTCAACTGTCACTTTTCGATTCTAATAGGATCTCTAAAGGAATTTGAGTTCCTATTGAAATTTGACTCGGCTATCGAACTTTTTCAGAAGCTCCAGATTTTCGGAGAATTCATATTTTTGAATTTCGATCTCCAATTTTGTGCATATAGAGAACTCAACTAGACTAATTTTCTTAAAAAATTCCGAAGTTTTGAACAAAATCTCTTCGAGATATGAAGCTTTGAAAAAAAATGCATGTTATATACACTATCAATGGAAAAGCATCCATATCATGAAGGTCTCCGATCGCAAAGAAACTTTGTTCGAAACTTCGGAATTCTTTTATAGAAGTTAATTTAGTTGAGTTCTCTATTTCAGTTCGAAATTCGAAAACTTGAGGTTCATAGGAAAAAATTTGATAGTCGAGTCAAATCTCAATAGGAACCCAAATTCTTTTAAAGTTTTTATTACAACATTATGTATCACATCGACACCTTTTAGGATATTCAACTTATCGATATTGATTATTCCAGTGCTCATTGTTCACTAAACCTTTTAAATTCGTTTGTAAATGCAATACTCGTACCATTAGATGAAATTGAGCTGTATATGAGTAACTTTACTCTTTCCCGATCAGTACATATAGTTAATATGTAGAAATGTTTCATTTTTGTAAAATTCTCTATCACATTGATATGTATTCGACAAAGATTCATGATGAAAATTATTTTCTTTTATTACGTCATCAATTATTGACTCATATAATGCCGACTAGAAATTGACGAACATCGAAAAATACCAGTCGAATAGACTATAATAATCTAAATTCATTAATCGATTTCTAAATTCGATCAAATTTATTGAATAGACAATAAAAAAAATCAAATCGTTGAGTATTCATTATACATATGGACAGTTTTTCGATCATTGTAAATCAGTCGGTCTTGAAACAGAGAGTCGCTTATATCTGAATATCCTCAACAATGGAAACTCAATGTATTGCCTATCTTCAAAATAATTTACATCTGACAAAATGAATTTGTACGTAAAAATTCCTATTTGCACAAATCAATGAAACAACAATAAGAAAAAAGTTTTATTATTTCTATGACATATACATAAAAAAAAAAGTCGTTAACTCTTGTTAATGATTTATTTTCAGTAATTATTTATTGATCCAACTAGATTCTTATAATACAATTTAATAAAAATGACTAAATTCAAATTTCACTAATGTTTTCATTTTCTTTCCATCAGTTTGAGATGAATGTTATACTTTATCACATGTATCACCATAGTGAAACACATTATCAATAATCGAAAAGTGCGCAGCAAAAAGATCAAATAAAATCAATTTGAGCAAAACAAAAACCTCAAATTAATTAAAAGGTTATATTTAGAACTTATTTCATCAAAACATCATTTATCATGATTAATTTATGACGAAAAAGCAATTTGACAGTTGTTTTAATCGACAAAAAATCTGAATCATAACAACTAGCCATACACCTATACTCATCTCATCACTCAGAGCTTCTTCATAGACACTCCTAAGATATTTTTCTAATTAAATTACTATCAAAAATCTACGAAAAAACCAAAATATGTCAGTTTTTCGAGTTGATTCTACTAATTTAACTTTTGAATTTATGCGAAACGAGAAGTTTTCATATTTCTATATATTTTTTGTTCATTACAAAGAATCATTTGAACTATCGTCTTC